CATGACACTCTGGCAACCTTGCACTTTTCCACATAGTCCACTTAGGCAAGGCTGGAACCTCAGATGAATCAAAGTCTTGGGAGAATATCTTGTGATCCTCCTGTGATCTTGTGAGGAGCTGCTGCTAGGGCACTTCTCATTCCCTCCCTACCTACTAGGAGAGTTGCCATGAGACAGTTTCTCATAGCCTCCAGGTTCTGATGGGATCTGAGGCTTTCTGCCTCAGCTCCCCAAGGACACAGCTGTAAACTCTAATATTCCTTAGCAGCAACAGGCCATTGGCTCCTCAGCAACAGGATGTTCTAACATCTGTGTTGCAGCCATCTGGCCCCATTGGTTTCAGTGTCACCAGACACAGGGCCACTAGGAACTGGTACCTTTGACTATTCTTCCTTTTTTGGTGTCTATGTAAGTAATAAACTGTCTGAATCTAAAAAGGGCTCCTTGTCTCTTTACTGGCTATCTCCATCAGTTGAACCTTGCCTGTGCCTGCCAGTTACATGCTATTCCCTCTGCTTGAATGCTCTCCTCCCACCCCACCAACCTTTTCCACATCTCACTTTTTTAGCTCTTACCTTAAACATTATCTCTTCATAGAGGCCTCCTTGACCAGCCTGTCCAAAATAGACCCCTTGTGGCAGACACCATCGGTTGCAATTCTAACAACCATTCTCCTTTCCATCTCGTTCCCTGCTAACAAGAACCCCAATTTTGATTTGTTAGGGTTTTGGTGGTCGTGCAGTTTAGGAGAAGCCAGGCCCCTTCCCAGTCCCAGAGGCTGACTCTTGATTTGTTAAGTTCCAACATGGCAATGCCATTCCTTTGCCAACGACTGGTCTAGAAGTTGGCAGATGATAAAATTCTGCCCAACAACACATAAGGGAATGTCTAGTAGGTACTTCTGGAAACTTTCCCTCGCTCTGATAAAAGGATACAAATATGTAACATGCCCTTTTCCTGCCTTCCGACCTTTGGTTATTGTTCTGTAAAACATTAAGCTTGTACCTTCGGCAGTCATCTTGTAACCTTGAGGGGACAAGCATGAGGACAAAAGTCAACACCTGAAGATGGCAGAGCTAAAAGATGGAAAGACTCTGCATCACTGATAGCCTTGGTGAGCCACTAAATTAACCAAAACCCCAGAACTGCTCTATCCTTGTTACTTGATAAGATGTATTTCCTTATTGCTTAAGCCAGTTGAGTCCACTTTTCTGTTACTTTCAGTCAAAACCTCCCTTAATTGAGTCACACATATCCCCAATCATCTAATATGATGTCTGGGATAGATAGGGCTCCAATCAATGCATATGTGTTAAATGAATGAAGAAAAAGAGATACTCTATAATTGTTTGCTGTAATTCCCACCCCTCCCATGTTAGCATTGAGCTAGGGAGTAGAATCAACCTTTGTATATTGCTTACAGAGCTCCCATTCCCACAGTTTGGAAAAGCGCAGGCTATGGTATCAGACCTAGCTGCCATTTATTAGCTGTGTGACTATAAACAAATTACTTCACTTCTCTGAAGCTTCATTTCTTCATTTCCAAAAGAGTGATATGAAAACAGGATTAAGTAAGATTATGTATTTATGAAGCAACTGGCCTACAGTCAGTATTCAAGACATATTTGTTCTTATGCCCAGCCTGCACACCTGACTAGGAAAAGCGGCTAAAGGGGAAAATGCTCTATGTAGCAATGAATTGGACTTATTCCTAGAGCTGACGTGCCAAAGCTGCTCTATCCCTAATCTTTGCCTCATCAGTTAAATTATTCCAAATGTCCACCTCAGTGTATTTATCTTTCATCTTCTCCATCTCTCCACCTACAACTAGCCCAGGTCTACACAGTGCTCTCATGTCACATGAGTTTCCTGTTACCCTTGCCTACTAAGACACAATTTGGGGAAGTGGAACGAATATAGGGCTCCAATCCAGTCTAGCTCTAACTAGATGAGTGACTGTAAGTCATTTAGCCTCTGAACCTCAACTACCTTATCTGTAAAATAGAGACAATGGGCTGTAATGATGCTCAAGTGGGATACTTCAGATACACAGATTTGAAAATTATAAAACATTATACAAAAATTGGTTTATTTTAATATTTTCGGCATTTCTGACCATAAGATTAGAATAGAAGGAAATAATACTAAAGCTATTCTTGCAGGATTCTAGAGCATGCATCCTGTCTGTTTCCTGGCCACAGCCTGCCTAATAAGCCACTTCAGTGTCCTTCGTTATTCATTCATTCAGCAAATACTTGAGTGTCCACTGTGTGCCAAGCACTATTCTATGTTCTGGGAATAGAACTAAACTTTCAGCTCTCATAGAGCTTGCATTCTAATAGAGGAAAAAAATGTGGTTGGTTAGAGCAAACTCATACCACCTGAAGAGTGCTGCCATGAATATCTCTGGTTATTTGATTGTGCCAAGTGGGGACAAAGAAGAGGGCGGAGAGGTGAGGAGTGAAATGCAGGAAAAAGAAGTTGAAAGAATCCAAAGCTACTAGAATCCAGAAACGGGCCAAGTTTCATCAAAATTAAGCGTCCATACACCACTTAGAGAGCATTCCAGCTAAGAATGCAAAACCTGAATCTAATCAAGAGGAAACATCAGACAAACCCAAAATGAAATTCATTCTTCTTCTTCTTCTTTTTTTTTTTAATGCAATAAAAGACAGGAAGGCCAAAGAAAACTTTAGGATTGAAGGAGACTAAAGCAATATGAAAAATACAGTATCTCTTCTTCTTCTTTTTTTTTTTTTTTTAATGCAGTAAAAGATAGGAAGGCCAAAGAAAACTTTAGGATTAAAGGAGACTAAAGCAATATGAAAAATACAGTACCTAATGTTACACTGCATCGTGTGTAGTGGGGGAGGGAGCGGTTGCTATAAAGTTCATTATTGGGTCAGTGGACAAAACTGGAATTCATCAGGTATATTAAAGTTACTCAAGTTATACATGAAAATGTCCTTATTGGGTGGGGTGGGGGAGAATATGAGGAGGAAGGAGGAAAGGAGAGAAGGAGCAAATGAAAAAGTAAATGGAGCAAATTGTTAGCAATAGATGAATTTGAGTAAAGGATACACTAGTTCTATGTACTATTCTTGCAACTTTTCCAAATAAGATGTTTTTTTAAAAAATGTGTCCATCATGAGACCAGGCCTCTAAGCCAAGCCCTTTTGCTAAATCGGTGCTTGACCCTGAATGAATACCTTCCTCTCTCTGGGCTTCGTTTTCTAGCTCAGATGATTTCTAACATTCTCTCTGGCTTTGGCAATCAAGGTCCCACGACTCTCTGGGCGTTTCCACGCAGGGCTGTGAATTAAGGCGGCCCTTCGGTTTCCTTCAAGGTCTCTCAGCCCACCAGTTATTTCATCACAACATTCTCCAAGGCGCCCACGCGTGCTCTTTAATCAGGGCAAACTTGCCCCAGCCCATCGCTCCACCAGCCGCAGGCAGCCACTCT